ACTTCAAAGTCAAAATACCTCTCTTTGATTGTGCTTCATCTCCAACATAGGTGTCCTTGTTGCCCATACCAGCCATGACTGAGACTTGTTTTGGTCTGCCAACAATTGATGGGAAGACGGCTCTTGGGGCGTCATCACCAGCAAAACCGGCCTTGCACATACCGGATCCATTATCTACAACAAGTGCTTGTACTTCTCCTTCTTCTCCCATTTGAATGTAAAGAGTTGTCAGTTCTTTATTTAAATAGCATTTCGTTGGAGGTTGGATATTAAAGTTATTAATATTTAGATCTGTGAGTTTTTTAACTTACTCGACTTTCATTGCTCAGAAAAAATCTATTTTTTTAATTTTTTCAATTCCAATTACCCACTTTATTAATATTTTAATATTCCAATTATACTCCGATGTCTTTGAACATGAAAACCTTGTGACAACAGAAACAAGGGGCGAAGAAACGGGTAATAGAGAAAACCCCTCTGAGCTATGAAAACCAAAATCAAAAAATGAAATTGGAATAACATAATTGACTTCTCACCATGTGTTTTTTTAACCTTAGCAAGTCAACTGAATCAACTTTTTTTGTGGGAAGGTGAAATCTGGATAAGATTTATCTAGATCATAATTTATTTTTAGAATAATCAAAAATAAATTCAAAACACGAAATCGATTAGTTTTCGCGCAAACTACTGGTCTTTACAGACCCATGTTTTCTATTTTCCATGTGTTCAAAATAGTCAACACTTGCTGTTACGAGACATACACATGAATTTACATTAGAGCGTTTCGGAATTTATCAATTTTTCATTATTTAAATTGGTTTGTGACACGCAGTTCTTAATTTAAGATCTTTTTAGTTCAAATACAAAAATATAAAAAGTGACTTATTTTAAGTAAAAAAATCAAGGATATAAATTATCCAGTTTTCACTTTGTATGGTTAATATTCCAATTATACAATACAATTTTAATTAATTTATTAAAATTTGATGGTATATTCAACTTTACTATTACAAATTATTATTACAGATAAAAAAAAACTAGGGATTAAATTCCATGATTCGGCAAGAATTGCTTTTTTGCACTGAAATATTTTTTGGCAAAATGAATTTAAAACTCCCCTCATTTTCGTACTTTTTTTAGAACATTAGTAAAAATATATAGTTAAACAATTATAAATATATAGTAAAAATGATATAGTATATATATTGTTTATTTAATTTAATTTGTTTATTAAAACAAAATAATAAAATTAACCATACTATAACTAAACAAATTGAACAAAATTATTCTTTTGTATTATTGATTATAATAATTTTTGTTGTATTTAATAGTACATTTTTATGATAATATTGTATAACATTTTTAATAACATTTATTTGATCATCAATAAAAAAATAAAATAATATATATATATATATTATATATACAATATTTTAGTAGAAAAAATGAAATAAAAAGGCAGATATAGGATGAAATATATTTTTGCCTTTTATTCAAAACAATAAATTTATTATACAACTAAAAACTATAATAAAAATGTAGTTAAAATATAAACAAATATTAAAATGTATTATTTTCCCAAAAATGATAGGTAATAAATGACTAATTTAACGGGATTAATACCGTTTTTATAACAAAAATACAAACAAAAAACAATAACAAAACTAAAAACAAAAAATACAATATATCAATTAAAAACCATAGCACAATTTATCAAAATTGTTCTTTTAACAAAATTGAAAACAAGGGAAGAAGTTGCTATTCAATGCCCTTAGAACTTAAACAGTTTAAAGGCAATATTGACGCGAAAACTCTTGCTAAGTGGACTGTGGAGAAGATACAAAAACTGGTATTGAACACTTACCGAATAGTCAATTGCACCACAGATGAGGCTGCAACGTGTTCTGGTCTTGACAATGGAATAACAGTGGAAATGAACGCTTTAATTGCTGTTGAAGATCCAACAAATCTTCCATTAATTGATTGTGAAATGAAAAATTTCTGGTTTTCAGCTCATAGAGTAATTTTGATGGGTGAATCACTCGAAAAAGATATCGACTAAAATGGTGAAAGTTTTTGTTCAATGGTTATGTCGGAAAAAAAGATTTGCTGATTATTGTGACAGTTGCAGTGTTGGACATGAGTTCCGAACAACTTATTCTGCTACACGATGGTGCTATATTTACAATATTTTGAAAGGACATAATAGACAAACAATTATGATGAAGTAGGATATAAATTATGTGGATTTAGGGGGGACTCATTTTATCTATATTTTATAATATTTTAATTAAATCGCGAGGGACGCGAATCTGAATTTTCCCAAAATTCGGGAATATAGTACCAAGTTTATTTTAAAATTATTTTTCTTTTTATTTATTTTTTTATTTTCCCTATAAAATGACTTCTTTAGATACTTTTGAAATATTAAAAATTAATCCAAAATATTCAATAAATAGATTAGGACAAATTAAAAATAACAAGAAAATAAGTTAATTAAAATTATGATAAGACCGTCTTTACGATTCGATGCATATGTTAATTTATCTGAAGACAAACACGTTAAAAAATATATTCTCTTAGAAGACTGGTAGCACAACAATTTTTACCAGAATTTTCAGATAGATGTGTAGTTTAATTAATAAATTATGAAAATCCATTAGATTGTTCAATAAATAATTTAAGAATAATTTAAATAATTTTATTGTTTATTCCTTAAAAAGAATGACCTCACAAGAATACAAAACTAATATTCAAAAATTAGAAGAAAATTCTGTTTATAAAATAATTAGATTTAAATCAATAGAAACAAAATTTGGTAAAACTCATATTATTCTATCTGAAGATTGTAAACAATATTTTGCTAATAATAAAATTAGTAAATATATTAATTCCAAAAACAAATCTATTATAAATAAATATGAGAATAATTCTAACCCAGATTTAAAACCTTTTATGGTTGTTTGAACTAAAAATTATGAAGAATTTGAAAATAAAGATAATCAAATTATTATATATCTTGATATGGAGTTATGGAATAAATAAATAATGAAAATTATGAATATATTTTTAGTAAAAATGTCAGTCGATCTAAATGAATATGTCAACACATTAATAAATCAATATGCTCCCGATAAGTCTGAGACAACAATGAATACTATTCATCCAGAAGTTTTTGTAAAGCATAGATCTATAAATCTACTTATAGGTAAGCCGGGTTGTTCTAAAACAACTTCAATTTGTAAAGAACTTATTATAATTGATAAAGTTTCTACTGCGTTCGGTCAAAGTCAGTTCCATCTTATTATTTGGGTTAATAATATTGGTTCTGATCAAACTTTATAACATTATGAGCCTTTAATAAATATTCCAATACAGTATAATCTGGGGTTAATAAAATAATCGGGTTTAATTCATTCAAAAATAATTAAACCCGAAGTAAGAAAAAATAATAAAAAATACATTTTTGAGTTTTATTACCATAGTCTCGTTTTTTGTTTATATTTATGTGAAATAATTGGGTTTTCACCTAAATTAATCAGAATATTTGTTTTTGAATAAAAATGCATTATTTTTGTTTCTGGAACTATTTTTCGGTACTATTACATTATAAATTACTTATTAAAAATAATGAATAAATAAAAACGAACATAATAAACTCTAGTTTTTATTCGTTTTTATATATTTAAATAGACTTGTTTCACCACCACCTTAACAAAGTATTTGCCGCGAGTGTTTTTTGAAGGAAGTCCATCTTTAAGTCACTGTTTGTGCGTCCCCATGTCACCACTTTCCTTGTCCGTACAGTTTGGACACTGATGTGATTCCCTTTTCAAACGGGGCGTTCATTGGGATCTGTGCTAGGGAGGAATTGAAAGTGGATGAAAAGGGTGCACAAACAGGCCGCCTGTGCCTTCTTTTTGATTATCGTCTCACTTGGTTTCCACTGTTTCGAGTTGAATTATCGACACATTTTTAATTCGGGAACCAGACCAATTATTATCCCAAGCTCCCAGTTACTATAATTTTAATTAAAATATTATATTAATTAGTAAAAAAAAACTTTATTTTAAGAGACGATGAAAAAGCCTTTACCATCATTATTTGTTTTTGATTGAATCAAATAATTATTAAATAATTATAACTATGAAACTACCGAAAGTTAATTCCAACAATTATTTTTGTTTTAAAAATCATTTAAAATAATTTTCTTGAAAAAAGCGGAATTGAACCCGATAATTCAAAAATATTTTAAGTGAATTAAACCCGGATTATACTGTACTTAAATTTACATATGAACAATTTGAAAAAGCTTATCTTCAATTCCTTGAAATTAAAGAAACTTATAATAAAATGATTAGAAAAGAAATACCTAAAGATGATTCTATACTAGAATGTTTATATTTAAAAAATTTAGTGATAAACCCATAGAAACAATTATCGTTTTAGATGATGCTGTTAATTGTTTAAAAAATGAATCTTCTTTATTATCTAAATCATTATATAAAACAAGACATACAAATTGTTTATTCTTTATAGCTATTCAAGTATGGAGAGGTATACCAGCACAGATAAAATCAATATTATCTACAATATGTATATTTAATTCATTTTCACCTCAAATTCTTCATCATATTTATAATCAAATTACAACAGATATCTCATTCGAAGAGTTTCAATCAGTTTAAAAATCAACTCGAAAATATGAAAAGATTATATTTGATTCGATAGATAACGAAATAATTGTGGATTAGCTTTAATAAAATCTCTAAATAGATTTTCAAGATTAGTCAATCTTTCTTCGATATTATTTTTAGTATCAATTGTATCTTCTAGTTTAATTGGATATAATAATATTTTTCCTTCTATTCTACCTATTCTATATCCATTAATTTTAAATCTTAAATTTGATGATTTTGTATTAATCTCATCGATTTCTTTCTTGTTTTTATCATAATATTTTAGAAAATCTGATTCATCATCAAATGTTTTAGCATTATCAGATTGTAATTTATATACTCATTTTTAATGATAAAAATATAAATTAAATAATATGAATTTAATTAGAACCATTTAAAACTCTTTTTATCGTTATTACTACGCTGAGTATTCGTTAATTGTTCAACGAATTTATTAGAATAGTGAGTTGTATCTGGTACATTAACTTTTTTATTGGTTTTGTATTGATCAATTAAGTCGCTACTAAAATCTAACATCTTATTTCCCATACCAGATGTATTATATGCTTCTATTAAATTTTTAGCATATGGTTTTATAGGTTTTATTACATTATCATTAATCCATACAGCTGCTTTTCCTATTTTAGGAATGAAATCCTTAACTTTCTTCAATTTCTGCCAAAACAGAGGAGATTTTACCATTTAAAATAAAATAAAAAACATTATATACATTTTATTTTGTCACCTTTATATTTTTAAGATCATTATGACCAAATTGCTTTAATGTTTTAAGAGGATCTGAACCTTTAATTACATCAAAAATTCTTTCTCAAAATTTACTATATGTTTGAATTTTTTTATCAGCAATATTACTGATAACTGGTCCAACTAAAGGAACAGATTTTATTATTGGTTTAGCTATATTGGTAACTTTATTTTTATGTTTCCATATGTTTTTAATACTTTTCCGCCTCCTTCTAGAATTTTATTGGCAAAGTTTTTTAACGTTTTATAATATCTGGGTTGCCGCATTTAAAATTCAATTTTTTCACTTAATAAATGTCTAACATAAGAATTCCTTCAGTTTCAGAAGATGCCAATAGAGGAGATATACTTAAATATTTCGATGAACAACAGAAAATAATTACATCTAAAAATGGTGTTCATGATAGTAGAATGATTACTGTAAATTCTTATCAACAACAAGTTCCATTTAACAGTAATGCTCATTCTAAAATAACTATTACAGATCCATCTTTTCATATTACTAATATTGATAAGAGTTATTTAAGCGCAACAATTAAATTAAGACTTAAAATAGTTCTAGATGAAGCAAAAACTGCAACTACATCAGTCGAAAAAGAATCTAATGCTTGTATGTTATTTATTGGTTTAAAAGATTCTACTCAATGGCTAGACAGTATGAAAATTAATTGGAAAAATGGAACTACATATTATGAAAACACTAATATGATATACGAAACAACTATTTCTGGAATGTGTAGAACTCAACAAGAAAAAGAATCTAGAGTTGGTGTTTATACAGCTTGGAAAAATGCTTTTGAACATAAAAATAATGTATGTGGAGTATATGTTAAAGTTGATGATTTGCTTAGAAATTCAACATTTGATGCTGAAATGAAATTGATAATTCATTTAGATAATTTCTTGCCTTTACAATCATTTACTTCATATCCAAATGCAATATTTAATGAATTTGAATTAGATATTAAACAAAGAATTACTCAAATTTTTGTTTATTGTCAGGTTAATCCAGCAATATTATGTGTTGAATTTAATGAAAATCATTTAGCATTAGATGCAATTAAATGTTCAACTTATATGAAAGGAGTATCTAAAGAATTTACACAAATTGGTGATAAATCACTTATTCTTGGTTATTGTTATTTCTCAAGTGGAAATAGTTATTCTCAGTTTACTGGAACAGTTCAAATTCAAGAAAGTACTTGTATATTATTTCAAAGTATTATTAATGGTTTTAATGTTAAGGATTCTGTATTGAAAGAAATATATGAAAGATATAGTAAAACACCATTATTTGTTCCAGCTCAAATAACAACTGAATATGATTTTCCACCAAATCAATCTGTTTCTAGAATTAATTGTTCAAATATGATGAGCAATCTAAATACATCTATGTTATTCTTCTTATTCCCAAGATCTAATAATCAATGTTCTGTATCTAAAAATCCACATATTAGTGATATTAAAGTTATAACAGCAAACAGAACTATACCAGATCAACAGATGGATACATTGTCAAGTGAATTTAGTGAATTCCAATTAGTAAATACTAATTATGATACATTATTTGCAGCTTTTCAATCTATAATTAATAGTTTAACATTTAATGATTATTCTGAAAATACTAATGATTCATTAAAACATATTAAATATCTAGGTGATGCTACTGATTTTATGATGTCAATTCCTTTAGAAAGATATGGTTCTGGATGTTTTTTTGATGGTTTATATTCTTCAGCAAATATTCAATTAACACTTCAAGCAACACATATGTTTGGAGATTATAATCCATAAATTAAACCAAGTGGATCTACTGGTTCAGTTAATACTAATGCTATTAATATTATTTTCTTAAATGATGCTATGTGGTCATTATCACCAAATAAAGTTGAACTACTTACGAATGTTGATTTAGATACTATGTTCAAATAAACCATCGAAAATGTCGTAAACATTATTATAATAATATATTTAATCTTTATTTTTAGTAATAAATGGAAGTATTTTCAACAACTTATCAAGATAAAAGTAAAAATAGTGTTTTTTGCACTTCATATTTTAATCCTTCTATGATAACATCTAATGAAATTAAAAAATGATAAAATTACAAGCATAGATGGAACAGTAAGTTTAAATACAAAAGATATTTCTTCTACTGATTAAGTAAATTCTGAAATATTAACATATTATAATAAATCTAAAAAAATATGGAGACAATATTGGTTCATCATGTAATTTCTTATTCTGATATGATTGCATCAGCGTGTAATGCGTACGACAACTCT